CCCACAAGACGTCCTGGGTTTGTTTTCAATAAACTAAACTCAGAGGAGAAAGAAGACGAGCAGAGACAGTAGAAGAGGACGAGGGCTTGGCCGAAAGAAGCAGAGGGGCCTTGAAGAAGCAGGAGGCAAAGAGGCACTTGGTATAAACAGGAGAGAGAGAGATTTCCCAAGTCTGGGGGCAGGAGGAGTGTGGATGGCAGAGCCGTGGGACCCCACGCTGCTTCCCAGCAACCCTGTGGGGGGCGTGCCAAGCTGGCAGAAGGAAGTGGCAGAAATGGCATCATAGGGACAGTGGTTACCGGTCTCCTCAAAATTCCATACCAAAGAGGCACCTGACCTGGAAAGCCCATGGGGGGAGGACAGCGGCCACCCCAGCAGAACCTGGGTGAGCAGATGGTAATGACCAGCGGCTGCCATCAGTGCTTTGTCTCATCACGGGACCCCAGAACCTTAAAAAGATCTGGAGGGAAAACCCCAAATATGTGAGATGGAATTCCAAATTATTGAGAGGGAGCTAATTTTTTAGCAAATCAAGAAATGTGATCTTTCCAAACGCCTAGGTTTGTGGACTGAGATTCACACTCGCCTTGCCAGCATTGTACAAGATCATATGGTAAGTGTTAAATTCTATTTTTATTTGCATTTCATAGATAAGGAAACTGAAGAACAGAAAAAATCGAGTACAATTTTATGGTCTCAAACTAGTAAGTGGTAGAGCCTGAATTTGAACCCAGGCAATTTACCGTCAGAGCCCCCTTCTTAACCATGGCAGCATTCTGGTCATGAGGGTTTGAAGTGGTTACCCAAATAATTTAGTCAGAACAAGAGGAAATAACCAAAACACGCGTGTGCATCCATGCACTCAAACACACACACACACAACATCAGCAGGCACACAATCCTCTTTTTCTGGATTTGGTGGGATTTTTTCTGCACCTCCTAGTGAATGGCCCAGGCCACCAATTCTTTTGACCTGATCGAGAAGGAAGTGGCCAGGAAAATAACAATAATAGTAATAATAACGTCAGACTTGGAGGGAAAAGAAAGTCCAAAAAGAAAAAGGATGGGAAATGACGGTTCCTTTTCTCTGTCGATCCTCAGGAATGGGTTAATAGCAGTCAGTTGGACTCACTTTTAGTGAATAAGAAACTGATAGAAATGGAGAAACTAATGGAGTGTTGGATGGGGAAGAAAATGAAAACAAAGGTAGAACAGAAAGGAAGAGAATGGATTGATGGACAAAGAGAGTGTGGAGGGAGGGGAATGAAGGGCTGAAGGCGAGGAGAAGAGTGTATTCCCTGGAAAATCCTATTAGGCAGCAAAAATGAGATTATTGTATTTCTACTTTGCCGCAAAATGCAAATGACTCAATTTAGCTGCTAAACATGTTGTTATTGAATTCTGAGAAATTCCCTTCATAAAATGTAATATTTTTGTGACAATATTGTCAGCAACGCCAGATTGCTTTTCTATTTTGGTTAAGCTTTTATCTGAGCCTAGTATATGTCATCCACTCCCAGATTCCAAATGATTGCTTTTATGTAATTTTTGTGTAAGCAAGATGTAATAACATGCTTAGAAACGTGAGAAATGTGTTAACCTTCCCATTATTTTTCAGCGCCCAAGAGAATTAGAGGGTGGGCCACAATGGGGAATGTAATTATTTCTCATGATGAATTTTTATTTATGTTAATATCTTTGAGAGCCCACATATCTGTTATTAACCACATTCCTTTGTTTTGCTCCAGTCTTTGTAGCCTTCTACTTTTAGAAGCTTTTTGCATAAATGACAAAGACTTTAAAAGCCTGTAAACAAAGGATTGGGCATCATACTGTTTATCTCTGACACTCATTCCTCCTTGGTAACGTCACTCGAATACAATCACATTTAATACAAGAAAATGGAATCTCAATGCCTACGATCCTAATACTATCATACCAGTGCAATTACATTTCTTTCAATTTCCCTAAATTTCTATTGATTTAGATGACTTCTCTGACAGACACAACTCCTCACCCCTCCAGGATTAATCAGTGAGAAATCAAGAGAGAAGCAAATGCAAGGAATGTTTGGTGTGATCCATTAGTCACAAACAAAACACCACCACCCAGATTGTAGCCATTTGGAAATCTACTCTATCCAGCCACTTAGTCTAGGACAAAAACTACTTGGTCAGGAACAATAGTGACTGTCTTAGGAACAATGACCTTGTCTAGGGATCTAATAAGCAACAAAGGCAGTGTGATGGTTACTTTTATGTGCCAACTTGGCTGGGCCACAGTACCCAGATATTTGGTCAAACGTTATTGCCAATGTTTCTATGAAGATATTTTTTAAGATGAGATTAACATTTAAATCAGTAGACTTTGAGTAAAGCAGATTACCCTCCATGAGGTGGTGGGCCTCTTCCAATCAGTTGAAGCCTGAATGGATAAAAGACTGAGGTCCCCTGAAGACGAGAGAATTCTGCCAGCAGACTGCCTTTGGACATGAACTGTACCATCGTCTCTTCCCTGGGTCTCCAGCCTGCCCACTTACCATGAAGATTTTGGACTTGCCAGCCCCTGCAATCATGTGAGCCAATTCCTTAAAATAAACCTCTATCTATCTATCTATCTCCTATCTACCATCTATCTATCTATCTATCTCCTATCTATCATCTATCTATCTATCTGTCTACCTATTTATCCATCTCTTCACACATACACACACACATCCTATTGTTTCTGTTTCTCTGCGGATCTCTGACATACAAATAGGTAGGGCCTACTTCACAATTATTAACCATCAATTGGCTGGACTCATTGTAGACTACTGTGTCACTGCTGGTATGGAAGTTTGGCCAGACAAGTGAGGAGTGTGTACAGAAATCTTATTCCAAGACCATTTTCCTGAATTAGAGACACTGTTCCTTTACAGCCACATCAATAGAGATGCATAGGTAAATTAAGATCTCCAAGGAGAGACTTAACATAAAGGCTGAAGCAAGACTATACCCGAACACTACACACACATCCATTTGAAAGACTTTCAGCAAAACAAGTGACCTCAAATGGGATGGAGACATTGAAGCAAATAAGGACTGACAGAGGCCCCTAGATTGATATAAACTATGTCATTGGAGGACATATTGATTAGTTTTTGTACGTAATAAATCATCCCCGAATTTAAGGACTTTACATTTTTATTATTACTCCCAACTTTGTGGGTTCCATGAGCAGTTCTGCAGTCAGCCATTGGGTTCACTGGGTGCTCTTGGTCTCAGATTATTTGCTCAAATGTCTGGCAGTTGGTGCTGGCTGTCCATTGGTGCCACTGAGACCACTGGGGTGACTGGGATACACGTCTCTCATCATTCTTCAGGTTATCCTGGCCTTCTTCACACGGAGGGAGAGGGTTTCCAGGAGAAAGAGAGGGGAAGCCCCAGGGCACAAGCACTTTCCAAGCCTCTGTTTGCATCACCTCACATTTGCGTATGTCCCTTTGGTCGAAGCAAGCCGCATCGCCAAGCCTAGATTTAAGGATGAAAAAATGATCTCCACCTCTGATGGGAGAAGCAGCAAAGTCACATGGCAAAGAGACATTTAGACAGGGCTGGGAGGAACGTGTAGCCACGTCCCCACCTATCCACAGGCCATCAAGTGGTGCCTCTGTATTGTATGCATAAGGAAAAGGCGGCCAGCTGTGCAAACTACCTCTCTGAGAAACGTGTTGAAAGAAATAACAGAAATTGAATGGAAGTTACAATGATCAGTAGGGACAAATATAAGTTTATTTTTTCTTACTTAGGTAAAAAAAAGAAAGCTGAAAAATAATGGAAAAGAGTCAATGGCATGCAAGATGCAAGAGGCTCAAGGATTTTGACAAAAGAAATGGTCCGTATGGAAAGAAGATGCCTTACAAGTTGGAAGCATTCTCGGAAGGGATCTCAGCATAGTGATTATGAAATTGTGCTTGGAGGCCCTCCAGAATTGAGGCTCCTTGAGAGTCAACGTGGTAGGGGTCAACAGAGGCCAAGCCAGGAAGTTCTCCTTTCATCTGGTTCACAAATTGGACTTTGTGTAACTTTCTGTTTAAACAAACAGAAGGATTCCATTTATTGAAAAACCTGTGCGTAAAACCACTGCCTCAATAAAAGGGGAGTACTTTTGAATCCTTGAGACTCAAAAAAAATGGAAAGAGAGATTTACACAGCAATTGACTGGGGTCAGAGGGTGGAGGTGGAAAAAATGGGAAAGAAAGTCATTTCTGGAAGATGAGCAGCAGAAGATGGTGACCCAGGGTGATAGGAGTGAGCCAGGTCTGGAACAGGTCTGACGAGGACGGCCTTGAGGGCGCTGGTGGGGATGGATCAAGGCGTTGTGGAGAGCTGGGAGTTCACCAGTCATTTGTAGAGGTAATATGTGCAGCACTCCATCTTTCTCCAGCATCTCAATCTCAGGACACTACAGAACAAAAGTGACACGAGGATACTCCTGGGTGGGGGCCAGGCTGAGGGTATAAACTGTGAGGGCAGACTGGAAGTGAAAGCGTAGCTGAGTGGACCAGGAGCCTGGTAAAGAAGGAGGACTTGAGTGGCTGGAGGACTCAGCGCTCGTCCATGTAAGTGGAGTGGGTGTGAGGCCGTGGTTACTAACCGCTAAGTAGATTTTGGCTCATCTTGGCACCAAAGATGATGAAGTGCAAAATAACGTCTTATAAATCAAATTCCAAGGGCTTGGTGAGGCTTTTGCTTCCTCACCACGCAAAGCATTCAATGTTTGAGTGCAAAGGAAAAATTATTACCTGAATCCCAGCCGCCCACCTTGCTTCACGCCAAGTGATCTGATTGGGAAGGAACCAGGTCCCTTCTGGTAGTTTGGCTGAGGATTTTAGAGGAATTGGGTGAGACAGACTTCTCTTTTGTATTTGGTAAATTATTCATAATGGGAGTTTACTCGAAAATAAGGACCGAGGCTCACATGGATCTCTTGGGGAAAAGGCATGCTAAACGGGATTCCGTCCATCTCAGCCCAAGGCCAGCTCTTTCAAGGAATCTTTTCTAGATTCACGAAAGGGGAAGGTTTGAGGAAGTTAACTCAGGATTCTTGTGCAAAGAAAAACGCACAAACTTCCCCTATTCCAAACGGAACGTTAAACTCCTTTGATTTTAATTGTTCTTCCTTTCATTTTAACTGTTTGTTCTGTATGCCCTGAGTTATTATCAAACAGAGGTCATATTTCTAACAGCTCCTAGGGTTCCAGAACACAGCTCTCTCTCAGTGCAGTGCCGTCCTCTCTGGGCCCACTCTGCTGAGACGGCAGCATCACAGCCTCCAAATAGCAGTCTACACGGAGCGAGCATCCTCCAGGCACTTCAGTCTTCTGACAGGCTGCGGCACAGTAAGTTGCAGCGCGTGTTGCCACAGGAGCCTGCGTGAATTGATTGCGGCCAGACTCACCCAGGGACAAGTGACAGACAGCAGGTAACACAGGAGGTTAGGTGGGCTCCTTAGCCCAGGGCCGGTTGCTCCCAGAGCACATCAACAAGGGATGGGAGGCAGCAGGACCAGCCGGCAGCCACTCCATCAGCTTCCCCCGGTTACAGGGAGCACGGCAGCTGGGTGAAGGCCTGACTCCTGGTGCGGTTCTGACACACCGAGAGTTGAGGAAGGCGGAAATGGGGGGTTTGTTCTTTCCAAAAAAGAGCTTGGATTGTGCAATAAATGCATCTCCCTCTTCTTGCTTTTTATCCCAGAATGAAAAGAGCTGAGATTAATCCCCTGTCTGAAAGGAAGCTCTTCCCTTCTGTGCTGGCACCAACAAACCTAAGGTGTGCCCTGGTTTGCTAAGCTTCTCAGTACAGGGGGTCCTAGGACAAGAAGGGCTGAGAAAGGCCTTACAGCTGAGGACCTTGGCCATGTAGGGGGAGCAGGAAGGTCCCACAAAGGGGAAGCGCTGTCTGCTCCTCTCTCCTACCGCCTACTCTGGGCAAAGTGATGGTGAGAGAGGCCGGTCAGGGCTCAGACCCTGGGGACAAGCTGCCTTAGAAACCAAGAGGTATTGGGACTGGACTTGATCCCTAAACTGACTAAACCAAGCATTTTTCTCCCAGCTTTTCTGACTCCTCACTGCTATTTCAAAGACCTCTCTTGGCACAGCTATGGATAATTTTGAATCCTTTCTTACACAGACTGTGAACACTGAAAGGACCAGCTTGAAGGAACACATATGTAAACACACACCCACACACACACTCAAAACCACAGCTACAACCCCTTTATAATCCTGACCTAGCAATGTGAGTTGTTCGGAGCTGCTCCAAGAGAGAAAGAGTGTAGAAGGTCCAAACAGGTCGATTGACTTAGCTGCTCTGGATTTCAAAGCAGCCTCTTAACCTCTGGCCTCATTCAGTGACCCAAGGACGCTGTGTGTGATTTCAGAACTACAACAGAGCTCTGTTCTTCTTCATTAGACTTAGGCCCTAGGGGCATTTCTGTCACCTCCCAGTCCCATAATCAATTTAATGGGTTGTCCAATTACCTTCACGTGCCTGGGGCCTCGGCAAGAGTCACTGTCTATCAACTGTGAAAAGATGAAATGCGGATGCTTTGGCCTTAACAAACTTCAGCTTCCTTTGTGATTGACACGGCAAAGCAATGAGGCACCAGATGAAGTAGTTGTTCTTGGAATTTTTTTCCCCTGAGAGCGCCATCTGATAGAAATCATCTTTGACCTCAAAAAGTTCAAGTTCCTCTCAAATTCCTCACCTAATCAACCCTTGGGTTTGGCAGCAGAATAAATGAGCAATAGCTGTGGCCCAGAACTGACCACCAATTCCCCTGCTGACAGCTCCTCCTTCTCTGCCACAATCGTCGCCCTCCATCTTTCCAGGTGGGATGCCAGTAGCTTTAGCTTCTGGATCTGGAAATTCACTTGGCAGCCCTCTCTGGGCCACGTCCCGGCTGCTGGCTGCCCTCCTTACCCACGTGCACACACATCCCTTCCCCAGAACCCAGCCCCCTCACCCCGACCTGCACCCCAACATCCTAAGCTGCTGGAGATTGCAGCTTTGGGACGTGAGTGGGGCTGGTTTCATGGAGCTGTTGGAGGGCCCCAAAGAGAAGGACTAGTGAAGCCTTTCTCAACCAATGGAGAGTTTTGAAGAAATCCGTATACTAAATGTTTTCGCAAGCCAATTTATCCTCCATTTGGGGATTCCTCAAGAAAAATAGTTTTTGTTATTCCTCTATTTAAAAAACCCTTGCTTGAGTGATAAGCTCATTGCATTCCAGGCACACTAAATCCTTTTATTGTTCAGAAAGCTTCGGAGATGGGGTCACATAGCTACTGTAATGATTCTCAAACTCTGAGGCATAGAGAATCACTGGGAATTTCTCTAACACAGATTTCTGCACCACGGCCTTAAAATTCTGATTCTGAAGGTCTAAGATTGGGAGCTGAAATCAGCTTTTTCACGAACACTCCAGGAGATTCCGACGCAGGTGGTCTAAGGAACGCTGCTTCAGTGAATAGTTGGCCATTGGCAGATAATCCATTTTCACAGAATTCTAATGTTTTAAAAGTAGACTCATGGCAGAAAACCTAACAGAAGCATAGTTTAAACAGACTTTGAGTGCAACCATCTGAGCATTCTGTTTTATTATCCTTCTTCCGGAAAAAAAATTTAACCATGAAAAGCCAATAGCTTTTCAATTTCACAGTATGCAATGCCGAGTGAGGTTTCCTGCAAAGCCTCAGGTGCCGTGGCCCCACCACACACGTGGCGTTCATGTGGAAGGCCCATGGGAGGCAGGCGGCAGGCCCCAGGGACGGGCCTGACACGACCCTGGCCCCTGTGTCAGCAGCAGGGCTCACACCTCAGCCTGCAACGCCATTCAGCCACATCTGTCCCAGAGCCTTTCTCCCTTCACCTGCCCATGCCTTGCAGACAGTCCTTGGCTCTCAGAGAAACTACTGGAGGGACCAGGCAGGTAAATTACAGAATGATCCTTTGCATAGTCTTTGTTGACTTAGAGAAGGCGGGAGATGGGTGATACAATGAGCAGAACCAGGCAGGCCATGCAAAGAACCGAGAAAGCCCATGGTTGTTTGGTCTAGTTGGTTCACTGCTTGCTGATAGTCTGTAAATAAGAGGGAGGTTGTATTAAATCACTGCTTAGTAGCGTCCCTTTTTGGCAAACACTGTGTTAAGGGTCTGTGCTCAACTGACAACGAACATGAAATCATCTTATAACTTTTCAGTGAAAATCTGGCCACAGCCAGTCAAAGAGAAAGCATACACAAGTTCCAATTTCTGTATGGATTATCTGATGCAGTAGGCCTGTTTTAGGATCTGTATGCATTGAAGGAATACGAACAATACAAATGGAAGGCAGATTTTCATGTCTTGCCCACACAACAGATCCCAAGAGTGACTAATGACTGTGAGTAGGCCGCCAAGGCCAGCAGACAGAACCTCAATGCTGAGGACATGGAGGGTTGTGCTGTGTCATTAACAACTCCAGTTAAAACCCCTTTGGCAGGTGACAGGGACTACAGGGTAGAGACTGGGTCCCTCCCCGCATTGAAGTAGGGACCTCAGAAGAGAGCCTTTCAAAGCTTTTCTGAGTTTTGCCCTCAGAAACTCAAAGCATGGGGTCCGAGTAGATACACAGAGAATAAGAGCTATAAGGAAGCTAAGAAATGATTTAGTTTAATTTTTCTATTTTGCAGGGGAGTGAACTGGCCCACAAAAATGAAGTGACTTATACAAAATGAGCTATATAATTAGTTATAAAACTGGTTGAATTGCATCTCCCCCAAAAGGATCCACATAAGCGAACTTATCTTTCAGAAATACTAAAATGCTTCCTTAGATCTTTGCTGAATGAAGATAGGCAAAGGGCGAAGAACAGAGATAAAGAGACCCCTGGAAAAATGTCATGGGTTAATTCATCTTCCTGGAGATGGTGAGCACTTGACAGTGTGGTATTTAAAGGGAAATTAATTCCAGACACTGAATCTTCATAACCTCAATTACTCTTGGGACCCTGATGTCTCCTTTCTTCTGTCCCTGTCTCTGGATGGCCGTTGGAATAGTCTTCTTTTTAACCGGAACAGTTGGGAACTCTCTTCATTACTGGAGCACAGCTTTTGGCTACTTATGCCAACTCTCTAACCACGAACTCCCAAGGAATTTGGTGACAAAGTCTCTGCAAAGGGCTCTAACCCGAGTAAACCAAGTCTTTGCTTGCATCCCAGGGGCAGTAAAAGCAGCCAGGTCCAGAGCATCCTCAAGTCAGTGGTCAGCAAGACCTGGCAAAACTGATGTTCATGCCTCACACCCACCCTAAAATCTCTATCTCATCTGGAAAATCCTGACACAAGGCCTTGGAGTTGGAAGAGATGCCCCAGTGGGCTCCTGGTGTAACTGTTAGGTAGCGTATTGTCGATTTTAAAACTTCGTATTTTTCTGCTGCCTCAACATCCACACGTACAGGCTGTGAGCATCCCGCCCAGGTGACCAGATGCACCAGTGTCATAAGGCTGGTCCCTGCCACAAGTTCCCCTTCTTGCCCTCCCCAACAGTGACCTAGTGACATTCACATTCGCCAGTGAAATCCCCTCTTGCCTTTTGCTTGTGTCTGCCACCCTGACCCCCAAATAAGGCTCTTGTCCATGAGACCCCACTCTCTCTCTCACCTCCCCACCTGCTTGGTTGAGCCCACTCCCTGTGTGGCCCCCTCTTGGCATGCAGCGACTCTGTCTCTCTAGGACCTGGAGTATAATAAATGTCGTTCCCCGCACCTCTCCTGTGTCCCCTCTCGGCTGCCCCTGACTGACTATCTCATGAAAGAATACAAAACAGCGAGAGTGGGTGAGAGGCTCAGTAAGAGCCAGTAGAGTACAACGCTTCCCAAAGGCACACCGGTGACACTTCAGTCTGCACTGATGCCCGCACAGGGTCTACGCTGGGCTGGTCTGTCCACATCAGGAGCACAGTGCTCAACTCTGGGTTTAGTGTCATAAGAAAGACATTGGAAAATGTCCCTCCTAAGTGCCCAGTGTAGAAAATAATGCTCAGGATGGTGAAAAACACTCCAGATCCTGACAAAGGAGAAATGACTGAAAAGAGCCCGGTGCCTTGCCCAGAGCAGAGAAGACGGGACGGGACCCAAAGGCAGTGTTCCAACAGCAGAAGAGCCATCAGAACGAGCTGGGATTTTTCTTATTCTTTTGGATCCAAAGGGCAAAATTGGGTGCAGATTTCTTTTCCATATAAATACAAACTTTCTAACCAAGAAAAAATAAGCCTAAATATTTAATAAAACTCTTAAAACTGTAAGTCCCCATATGCAGGAGCCTTAGGGAGAGAGGAGGAAATTACACGCAAGGGAAGGTGCAGATGATCTTCATTCTTCTGCTTAGAGTGGAAGAGAGGATCGTTCAGGTGCCTAGCAGCCCAAAGACTCAGTAACTCCAGGCCTGAAGGTAAGAGGGAGACCGTCTCTGAGCCTCTGCAAGCTGTAGCTCTTCCCCGTGTCCTGGGCATTCCCAGTTGCTTTGCCAAGTGGATTCTCTCATCCTTTCCTTTGAGGTACAGAGCTGACTAGACTTCACAGGGACACATTCAACTGGATTTTGTGGGAGATAAAGGGAAATTCAGAAAGGTAAGCAGACTCTCGGAGAGGGTATTCCTCATGCTCCCTTGGCACACCTCTTCTTGGAGGTGACTCACCTGTGGGGTAATTCTTTCTGTTACAACTTTCCTTCATCTTCCCTCCTCCTAGTTGTCCATGAAAGCCTGCTCCTAGGAGTGGGAGGGCCTCCAAGCGTCACTGGGGGGGATAAAGACAGGGGCAAATAGCTGTCAGCATTCCACTCAGTCCATAGGAGAAAAAATGTCTTCTTATTGTATGCACTTTATTTTACCCTCTGTTTACAGGACTTTGAAATGTAACCTCAAAATAATTATACTTTTACCAAGCAACGCCTCCAGAAGAAGTTTAGCAGACAACATTTGGAGAAAGATGAGTCCCTCATAAGTGGAAATCTACTGAGCCTGAGGTTAAATGAATTCCCTCTTCGTTGAAAAAATTCACCAGAGCCATCCTGGGAGCCAGAATTCAAGGCCAGCTCCCTTAGGAAGATGGGCATTTGCAGTGGGACAAAGCAGGGTTTTGCTGCCCTGTCAGAGATAATGGTGTCCACGTCCACACTGAAGACTGGCTTGGAGATTAACCAAGGAAAATGGATTAAGAGGCTAAACTCCATCCCACGGTTTAGTAACCACCCAGCACGCAGATCCAGAGAAACCAAGCCTAAGTGTTGTTGGGAATTCCAGGGACCTAATACTCACAACGAGTTCCCCCAAAATGCAAAAAAACCCATCTGCACTGTGGTCCCCAGACCAGCAGAATTAACATCTTCTGGGGACCTGTTAGAAGCTCAAATTCTTTGGCCATGGTCAGCACCTCCTGAATCAGAAACTCTGAGGATGGATCCAGCTTTCTGAGGTTTTAGCACGCCCTTCAGGGGATTGTGCTGCATGCTGAAATTTAAGATCCACGGGTGTAAGATGACTTCAAGATCAAGCGACTAAACGTAGGACAAATTAGGTAATGATTTATCCCATCCAAGGATTTGGGGACTGGGAATGAGTCAAGAGGGCCCAGGTGACAACAATGTAGGGAACCTGAGTATAGCACCACCCGGGGTGAGAGGGGAGAGCCTGGTACCTGTAACAGAAAAGACGATGGGGAGTATGGGAAGGAACTGAGAATTCAGAACGCTCAGCAGTCTGGCAGGTGGCAAGCTGCCTCGAGTTAGGGGCTGAGTCACTTGTCAGGACATCTACTCCAACACTTCACAGGAAGGAAACATCAAAGTCCTGAGCAGTCAAGCCAAACTCTCACCTTCAGTTATGGTAAGATGATGAGAAAACCACTTTACATTTACTTAGTACTTGATCATTTATGAAACATTTAAGTTTTCTAAGTCGAGGTTTTGGAATATTTTAGCTCTATTTTACGAAATTAAAAAATTCAGAATTTGGAAACTCCAAATGACTTTCTCAAAGTCCCCTCCGAGGCAAGTGGCAGAACTGAGACTCGAACCTGTGCCTTCCCACTCTACAGCTGGCCATCTTCCTACTCCAGAGAGCCTGTTCTCTGTAACAATCGTTTATTTCTGTGCTCTAGCCTGTTCTTTCTTTCTTTGCTTATTTGCCTTTTTAATAATGTTCCTCCTGAAAATTATCAACTAGATTTCAACAATGCCTGGTTTTCACTGGAGAAACACGTCCTCTGCAAGCCATGGGGTGAGTAAGGCTTAGAAGTTGTGTTTTCTTGCTAGGACTGCTGTAACAAACTATCACAGGCTGGGAAGCTTAAACAATAGAAATTTATTTTCTCACGGTTCTGGAGGCCAGAAGCCCAAAATCATGGTATTGGCAGGGTTGGTTCCTTCCAAGGCCCGTGAGGGAGTCATCTGTCAAGAACCATTGGACCAAAGGATCTGTCAAGGCCTAGCTCCTTGGCTTGAAAATGGCAATCTTCATGTTCACATGGCATTTTCACTATGTGTGTATCTCTGTGTCCAACTTTCTCCTTTTATAAGAACACCAGTCCTATTAGCCTAGGGGCCCACCCTAATCCAGTCTGACTTCATCCTCACTAATTACATCTGCAACAACCCTATTTCCAAATCAGATGACATTCTGAGGTACTGGGGCTTAGAACATTAACATATCTTTTTCAGGAGACACAATTCAACCCATAGCAGAAGTTATCCTGGAAATCACTATAAAATGAACATCAATGAGTCTGCGCAGGTGCTGCTACCCTTTTTATTTTTAACCTGATACATTGGGTCACAAAACAAGAATGCACTTTAATGGCTTTTTTAGTGCATATGTTGTGAGTGAGTGTGTGCACTGGTACATGAAGATGGCACAGAGAAAAAAGGGAAGTGAGCTAGGGCAGCAACATAGAGTGACCTACCAAACTCATAGATTTGGTGGTGAGGTTAAAGAAGACCAGTGGCAATCCTCATTTTTCTAGTTTTGTTCCCCAGATGCCCTCTAAGAAAGAAGGATCTGAAGATAGTAATTCAGACAGAACTGTTCACTCTAAATGTGTAAATGTACTATGCCTCCCAGAAGCACTTGCGTATTAGAAAGGATCCCCCTCACACAGATGATGGTTAGCACAGACGAATGCATTATTAATGACGGAATTGTGGCTCCATTAAATAAATAGTTCAGGAAATGTTTGAGGGGTGGTGTTCCCAGCTCTCTGGCATGATGTAGTCTGCCAGGCCACAAAAGGCCCCCACCCCATCCATCATTCAAAGAAGACTTCTGCTTCTGGAGAGAGGTGCTCTCCTTACCCCGTTATGCTTCCAGTTACTGCCAGGCAAACATCGCCCAGGGGCGAGGGACGTCTGCCCTCCCAAATTTGTATGGATAGAACACTTAACCGTCAGAAAGAGGACAGAACTCCTTAAAGTACATGAGCTCCACTCTGTAAATTGTGAACAATAAATCATAGTTCTCTTCGGTCTTGTTTTTTTTTTTTTTTTTGACAATATAAAAAGCACAAATTTATCATCAAGAAGGAAAATACAAGACAGATAATGTGTGCTTTCCCCACCACCTACTCCGTCTGTATTGTTCCCCAAAATCTGCTCCGCGCGAAGCTGTAATGATGGCCAACCCATCCAAAGTGCCCAGATTCACTGCTTCTGGGTGAAGTATCTAGGAAGCTCAGTAATATATGACACAAAAAAATGAAAATAAGAATGCCTGTGACTGGCTGCTCCCATCACACCTGCCCTCTGGATTTCTGCACATTGTTACGGGAGTCGCCCTCAATCCTTGAAGAACAGTCTAGCTAAGGATCCTTACCACGTGGGGTCCATCTCTGGGGCTCACTGGAGTGCAATGACCTACAGAAGTGTGCACTGGGGGCCTCCAACCAGATCCCCTCCTGCCTCAGAGCTGATCGTCCCATAGCCTAGAAACACGATGTAAATACCTGTTACAGGACACATTGGTGAGACACTCTCTCGGGAAGTGAGTGACAAGAGCTGCCTGCTCTGCCCACAGCTTTATCAGGCAAGGCCAGGGCCAGGGTCTAACAGTTTCTCTGGGCAAGTCCTGCATCTCCCATGAAGCATGAACATCTCACTGGTAAGCCGTGTCTCTCGGGCCACTTGCAGAAGATGGCTCAGTTAATAATTTCCAAACCCGCCTTGCCTAAGCATCACCATGAAGAAGATCTCCCATGGATAACATGAGGAGGAGATCCCTGAACTTGAATCTCAATAGGTGGCATGAACGTGAGGGCATTTTCTCCCCTTTTTTCTCTTCATTATACGCACTTCTGCAAATACACAGCCAGACCTTACTGGTGGGTCTTTCAAAAATCCTAAGCTATCAAATGAGATAAGGTTTAAGGCTCAGTTTTTAGCTTATGAATGTCAGCCAAATCAATCCAAAGCAGAAAATATCTCCAGTGTGTGTGAGAGCAGGCTGGAGCCCGGATTAGCAGGCCTCTCACAGCCTCCACGCCACAGGCATGGGAAATGCTCTGCTCCCTGGTCCTGGGGGACGTGACCTGCTCTTCATCCTGTGGTCACAAATAGACATAAGGCTATTAACCTTATTAGGTCTAGGACTGTGGCTAGCCCAGATGGAGGCTCTAAGCAACCCCACAGTGCTAGGATTTGCGCAGTATCAGCTGGCCTGCAAATCCTAGGTTGGCGATTTTAAAGCGGTCTGTCCGTAGCCATTTGTGCAAAAGTCTAGGTCATTCCAAATAGCACTATAAGAGGATACTAAAATGCTTAATAGATACTAGAAGAAGAAGCGATTGTGAGCTCGAAGCTGAGCTCAGGTTGAAGGATAGTCCGAGTGAAGTCTCTATGTTGCATTAAGTGCCTCGGCCTGGTGCTGAGGAATTTGGTGAATGTCAACCACCTGCCATTTTCCTGGGAGCTCAGGGCCACCGTGGGTCTGCTTGGGAGTGGGCAGGCCCCCTGGATTAGGGCAGAGGGCCTAGTAGCCTCTCTCAGCCTTTCTCCACCTAGCAGGGTTCCAGCAGGGAACCCAGCTCCTACAGAAAATTATTTGAGTGACTATTTTCCCAAGAATAAAACATAGTTGGTACTACTCTAGATACCCAAGAGAAAAGTTAACACACTGGACACCTTAGGGCACCAGGGTTGCATGCTCTCAGGGAATGAACGCCAAGCGAGAAGAGCAGATAGAGTGACTCTGTTTGCCAGGTTATCCGGTGGCCCTGCTGACTCGGCTCCTTCAATGACAAGAAGCTGCACAGACAGTCCTCTGTCTTCCGTGTGCTCTCTGGAATACTAATACCCAGGTGGGGAGGGAAGCAGGTGCATGTGAAAAGATCTTTGGGCTGTATCTCGCTGTGAGCTCCTGTTTCCAGATAAACAACCCACTCCCATGAAGCCGGTGAGTGGTGTGCAGAAGGGGCAGGCCTGCACTTGGCCCAGCTGTGTGTGGGCACCCTCTCACTGCAGGGTGTGCCCAGGTATTGACAGCTAATGCCAGGTGTGGTGTCTCCTCCTTCAGTCACATCTCTCGTCCCTGGAGACTTGTTCCAGTCGATGGCAGACTCTCACTGGCAAATCTGTGTCCAGGGAAGCTTGACCAGAAAATAACAATCCAGTCTGTTCCCAGGGCAAAGCTCCATGTGCTGGATGAAACTCTGACGCGAAATTTTGACCCAGTGAACTCGGATCTGTCGATCTCACTTCTTTCTGACAGTGAAGATCCGTTCTTGCTGAAGTTCACGTTTCATCTTTGAATACCTCTGGGTGGGGAAGAGTCAGCTTCCACACTGGTTCTATTCCCACTGGGCTTGGTTCTATTGCTAAACCAGGGAGACGTGGGTGGGAGGATGGGCCAAAACATACGTTCAGGAGTAAAACTGTCAAAGGGAAAATGTAGCACATCAGCATAAAGACTATATGGCTTTTCTTTCTTCAGTTTTAAAGGTCAATATCATTGCCCTACATTTCACTGGTTTCATAATGTGCAGAAGTAAAACCCAATGCAAGGCAGTGGTTTTATTAAGAGGAGATAGAATAAGACTTGACCTTGGCAGAAGGGTTGTCAGATGAAATACTACAGGATGCCCAATTAAATCCAAATTTCCGATAAACAACAAATAACCGTTTTAGTGTTAGTATAAGTCTATCCCACACAAAATTTGGGACAGACTTACACTAAAATTATTTGGTTTTTATCTGAAATTCAAATTTAACTGGATGTCCTGTTGTTTTTCTTTTTGCAAAGTCTGGCAGCTCTGCTTGGAAGACGGTCTATAGTGAGTGTCTGGGACACTTGTTCTGCCTTGGGTGTCTGTCACCAGTTTGCTCTCGTTGGCCTTTGCATGCGTTATTTAACATGGCCGTGCTTCCATGCACTCACGTGAGCAATGAAAGAGAGTGTTGCAGATGGCCATGTGCACAGATATGTCCAGAATTTGTTTTCAAAGCAGTTCAGAACAAATCACCCATTAAATATGAGACGTAAGGCCAGAAAGACCCATTTTTGGAGGAAGGGTAGTCAAAATGGGTCCACCGTGATTCTAACGTACTGATGATGGTGCATGATGAGGTCATGGGTGACTCTCGGCTAAAGAGCCCTCCTTGCCTCTAAATCCAGCAGACTATCTCGACAGCTGGGGGCAGGGCAAGGCTTTCAAAGAAGTTCTCACCATCAGAGAAACCTTGAAATCACTGAATTGGTGAACAGTGGGACAGGCCTGTCAGTTGTCTGTCTGTAAGGGAAAAAAATCTCATTTTAAGGGGAAAAGAAGCCAGACATGATGAGGTTGGCCCAGCAGAGAGCCCTTCTAGGAGGGGAGAGAGGGGCGTTTCTGAGAATAACATGGCATTGCCACTTGGATTTCCTTGCTAGATCAAGATCTGAGAGCTGGCAAGTTAATCACAGTAATAGGTGTGAATAAACACAGAAGTGCTGGGGCCGGCCCCGTAGCTGAGCAGTTAAGTTTACACGCTCTGCTTCGGCAGCCCAGGGTTCACCAGTTCAAATCCTGGGCATGGACCTACACAGCATTCATCAAGCCATGCTGTGGCGGCATGCCACCTGGAGGAACTAGAATGACTTGCAAGTAGGATACACAAAAATGTGCTGGGGTTTGGGGAGGGAAAGAAAAAAGAGGAAAGATTGGCAACAGATGTTAGCTCAGGGCCAATCTTCTGCCCCAAGAAAAACCCACAGAAGTGCTATTTCTCCTCCCCAATCCCATCCCCAGAAAAAACCTGACTGAGGCACAAGTATCAGCCTCAGGACCCTTCTTACAGAGAACAACTCAAAGCGGGCAAGGTGTTCTCCTTAATTTCACCACGGACTGATCAGCATCCAGTGTGGGCATCATGAGGGCTCCAGTCATTCATGGTGCAGGCACGGGTCAGCTGGGGCTGGCAGGAGCCAAGGTGCCTGACAGGGGAGCCCACAAAGTTGTCAGCTTCTGCGGAGGAGCTGGGTTTCCAGGGTGGGGTGGTGACACCGTCAGACATGGCAGTGCCGGCAGCCGGGAAAACCAATGGGGACCGGTGGGTGCTCCTGAG